GGCCTTAAATGTCAAAATATATATTTTTGGACTAAAACCGTGAATTTCTAGACATTTGGGACAAAATTACAAATTTTTACAAATTATGGACTAAAGTGTCATTTTTACAAAACTTTGGGCCTTAATTGAAAATTTGAGGCTTTTGACCAAAAATGTTGTTTTACGAAAAAGGAGACTTTTTATAATAAATTTGGGAAACCACGAGCTAAAATAAACAACGGAACAATAACGAACGGACGAAATATATCGATAATAATTTTATTGGGCCTAATATTCACATTACGTGGCCAATGGGCCTTAAGGGCCCATTCAAGTGTATATTGAGCCCAATATTTTTCCATGACCTGTTTATTGGGCCTTGCGACCCATTTACATGTTAATTTGGGCTTGAGTTATGGGTCACATGTTTGATGGGCCTTTGTGGTCCATTTGCATGCCTATTGGGCCCAAATTACCCACTTACATGTTATTGGGCCTTTGTGATCCATTTACATGCTAGTTGAGCTTGGACTGAAATTCACATGCTTAGTAGATCGTAACTATACCCTTACATAACTATTGAACTTCGTATACTTATATATGTAACTTTGGATTTGATAACATACAACATACACGTAAAGATTAAACATAGTACGAAAGGTTGAGAATCTAGTGAGACGTGTCGGTTGGCACCTTGAGTGTACAATCGTAGCTTGTAGTTATAATCAGAGTCTCCTGGAGGGAGAGCGAGAGTTTGTGTATAGATCTATACGGGGTGACCCCCCACGCCTTAGCTGTTCGCTACAGCTAGACTAGGCCAGTCTAGGGCGATAAAACCTTGAGCAAATACCGACAATTTGGAAAAATGCCAAGACAGGCAACCTAGTCATTATCATGTATGGTTATAACGGCTCATATAGAGATCCAATACCAAAATTTACACTTCGAAGATTAACCCTTCGATTGTGTCAATACTAAACAACTTATCTAACGATACAAGAACCTCGACATTATTATAAATCAGAAAATATCGGATTTTCTGGGGAAAGATTTATATTCAATTATCACTTACTTACAATACAAAGAAATCTAAACTACATTCAGATATGTTGCTACTATGAAATTCACACATGCATCTATACTTGATTTTCACATCATTTTCAGACATTTTATAGAAAATATCGGATTTTCTGGGTTTTTACGAAAGATACAAAGACTTTTACTCAAACATACTTATGAACTCACCAACATTATATATGTTGACCGTTTTCAAAATAACTTGTATTCTTAGGTAATCGTTAAGCAGGAAGATTTTCAAGTGTGTATGGTTTCATTTTATGTAACATCACTCATCGTACTTTTAATATTTTGAACTTATGTATTCATAACAATGTACTTGATGTGAACAATGCTGGTTGTAATATGAAATGTTGGTGATGAATGTGTTATGATTCATGTATATTCATTGTGATGATAATTCAATTGTTAGTCACACGAGCCCCGAACGTTTCCGCCGTCTGGTTCGAGGGTGTGACAGGTTGGTATCAGAGCAATGTTTATAGTGAACTAGCATATCTAACCATACATGATATGCAACTATAAACACAATGGGACTAAATAACTCTGAACAAAACAAAATTTCACACTTATGTGCGCATATTAGAATAATAACCTAACAATATCTAATAAAAGCTTCTGGAGGAAATTGAACACTATGATTAAACCTGGGCAGTTATGTAGTCATATTAGGGATAAATATAGCCTGATCAACTATATTTATTCAGAATATGACCAACATGTGTTCGGGAGTAACCATAGCGGGAAATGAATCCAAAAGCCTACCTCACTCTCCAATAACTCTAGAGAACTCAAATCTAAATAATTAAAATATACTATAGGGATAATCAAAACATGATTTATTTATGCACTCTCGTGCAGTCTGTATGGCTGGTTTCCACCTCCCCGGAGATCCTTATATTCCCAATCAGGGAAATAACGGATGGCTAAAACTTGTCTTTACTTCTCTATTGCATGAGGTCTCTGTTCTTTCAACTGTGACCATTGTTCTCTACACTACAACCTCTATACTTGGAACCACGATCTCTCTTCTCGAAACCACAACCTTTTTTCGTTGGACCCTACATCCTTTGTTCTCAAAACCTCTATCCTCAAAACTACAACAAATTCACCTTAACCATAGATCTAACTTTACATCTCAAAAATCCCTTACATTTTTAGGGTGATCGAATCTATGTTGCCATCCAAGCAATGTAACCTCAATCTCGTTCTTTCTAGTCCTCACATTCTTGTCAAGCTACTAGAAGGCTAGTTCAAGCCATGCAAAACTTCAACTTCTATGTTGTCACCATATCAGTACACATATTTCTTAGATTTTTTATACCAATTATCTTCTTCAAATTCAGAGTCTCGTCACTTATTAGTTCTTGAATAAAGTGGCACCTTATTTGAATATGGTTCATCCTATTACTAAACACAATATGCTTTGCCAAGTTGATTGTACCGTGCTTGTTATAGTATAATACACAATCTTCCCGATGTATCCCCAGTTCTGATAAGAAGTTATTTAACTATAGAAGCTTTTTTTCTTGCTTCCACAATAGTCATGTACTATGTGTTTATGGTTAAAAGAGCAACACTCTTCTATAACATGGATATCCAACTAATTTTTACCTATAATTATGAACACATAACATGTTGTGATCTTTTCTAAATATATACATGCTCCTAAACCAACATCAAAAAAACTTTACAAGACCACCATTTTCCTTTTGAAACATAAGGTTGCCTCAAAAGTACCTTTCAAGTAGCGTAATAGACACTTGGCTCCTTCCCACTACTATTTTCCCATATTGGACATAAATCGTCTCACAACTTCCACTTAATAAGCAATATTCGGTCTGATGCACTATAGCATATATTAAGTTATTAACTATTGAGGCGTAGGGAAACTTAATAACTTATGTCTCGTCTTATTTTGTCTTTGCAGATTTCTTCTTTGAGAGTCTTAAGTGACTTCCTTAAGGTGTATTTCTTGTATTTTCATCTTTCATACTAAATTACTCTAAGACTTTATTAATGTACTTTGCTTGGGAAAGATCAAAAGTATCAATTACTCTATCTTTGGCTATGATCATGCCTGATATATACTTAGTAACCCTAGGTCCTTCAATCATACTATCTGGATAACTATTTTTTTTTATCATGTTGATCTTATGCATATCTGATCCAATAATTAATATGTCAACATATAATAATATGATGATATATAACGACACAAAGTTCTTTAAGTAGCAATACTGATCCATTTCAAATCTCTTCTACCTACTCGTCAACATGAAGGTATCAAACTGCAAGTACTAGTGTGTTGGAGTTTGTTTTAACCCATACAAACTTTTCTCCAACTTTTCAAACAAGATTTTGCTTACCAGCTGTTAGAAAACCTTCTAGATATTGCCATATAGATGTCTTCTTCCACGTCACCATGTAGAAAAGTTGTTTTCACATCAAGTTATTCTAGATGGAGATCTTTTGTAGCCATTATACCTAAGACCGATTAGATAATAGTCATCTTCATAACTGGAGATAAGATCATACTATAGTTGACCCTTTTTTTTTGTCAAAACCCTTAAACCATCAGTCGATCCTTGTACCTCTTGATGTCATTTAATTCTTCTTTGACCAACAACACCCATTTGTTATGCAATTCTTTCCTTCGTATTGGTATCTTGTATAAGGAACGCTTGTTGAAGCACATCTCAGCTTCTGGTGACATTTAGGTTCACTATTATCTGCCAGCAACAAGTAGTTTATTGAAGGAGAATATCTTAGTGAAGTTATTCTTTTTCTAGTAGATCTTCGAATAGTAGAAGATTTGGTCTTTTCTTCATCTATAACTTCTGGCTCCTGGCTCCCATTATCTCTAGGTTCATCTGAGCCACATTGCTACCTGAAATTTCACATATCTCAGGAGTACTAGTAGGTTATACAATGTCTACATATAATATTTCATCAAACTTAACTCAAATTTTCTTTTCTTGTTGCCTTTCTCTATTAGGGATTGATGTAATCTCATCCTTGTATAAGAAACTCTTGTTGAAACACATCTCCACTATATTGACTCTTTCATTCTCAAGGTCTTAGGGTGACATTTATGTTTACTATTATCTGTCAGTAACAAGCAGTTTATTGAAGGAGAATATCTTAGTGACGTTCTTCTTTCCCTAGTAGATCTTCGAATAGTAGAAGACTTGGTATTTTCTTCATCTATAACTTCTGGCTCCTGGCTCCCATTATCTCTAGGTTCACCCGAGCCACATTGCTACCAGAAATTTCACATATCTCAAGAGTACTAGTAGGTTATACAATGTCTACATCTAATATTTCATCGAACCTAACTCGATTTTTCTTTTTCTTGTTGCTTTTCTCTATTAGGGATTGATGTAATCTCATCCTTGTATAAGGAACTCTTGTTGAAGCACATCTCGGCTTTTGGTAACCTTTTTGTTTTGGTTATCCTATAAAGGTAACCCATTTCATCCAACATGTAACGTATGCAGGTGCATTTCCTTTCCCTTGCCTCGAGCTTGTCGACCCATGATCATCAGAATAATTTAACTACTACGTGTTTATTGAGTCTAATAACCCACATTAGGGAAATACATTGTCATTTGTGAAAATGCAAACAAATTATTGTTGAACGATGTGTTATGCATGCAACAATTATGTAAAAAGAAAGAGCATGCCATGGGATCTAAATGTAACCCTAACAATAAAGACAGAAAATACAAATAACTTGGTTGTTATGAAGTATATATAATCGTAATTATTTTTCCTTATTATCAATTCAATTTGATTTGGAATATGGGAGAATTATGGTAACATAGCAATGTTATTAGGCTATTTTTTGGTCAACCACCAGGTTTACTAGTGTTTAATGTCTTAAGTAATCCATTTCAATCATCATGTTCTTTTATTGATAAAATTAATCGCTTTGATCACAGATTATTCGATATTCTTTCTTTGGTACAAAGGAAGGATTTAGTTATACACCTTTCTGGCTATTATGGCTCAGGTAAAAAACATTGGTTCCATGGTCACCAGAGTTCCATTTTTTTGTTCTCCTTTGCTTTCATATATAGCCTCGTCATTATATATGTTAGAAACTTTGACTGCAGGTATAGTACATTTCTAGTATTGTATCCATGTGGAATTGCGAGCGAAGTTTCTTTAATCTATAACGCCTTACCTTTTATAAAGGTGACGAACATAGTATCACCTTAATTTTTGTTATCTATTATATCATTATTATTCAATACATATGAAAAGTTATAGTTCAAATAAATGAGATTTTTTGGTTTTATGATCCTTTTAAATGAATATTGCCTCAACAATGCTAATTCGAAAATAATAATTACAGGAATCTGGATGTTGTTCAGTAAGGATGCCTAACAAATGGAACTTTTCATTTGATTACTTTTATTGTGCGATCATGGTGCTTGGAGTTTACGTGCCAGGCATTTCTCATTTTTAATCTCAACATTATCAATTTGGATTTCATTTTGAAACTGGGCAAGTTTTATAGGGTTATTTTTCATGGATGAGAGATCAAGAGCAAGTTTCTATCCCACCTTATTCCACTTTTTGGGTGGGAAAATGCAATTTATGTTAGTCCAAGTCCCGGTCTCAATCCCAATCTCAATCCTAGTCCCAGTCTCAGTCCCAGTCCCAGTCCTAGTTTTAGTCTCAGTCTCAATCTCAGTCCCAGTCCCAGTCCCGGTCCCGGTCCCGGTCCCGGTCCCGGTCCCGGTCCGAGTCCGAGTCCGAGTCCGAGTCTCAATCTCAGTCCCAGTGCTAACCTATATAAAATAAGTGTTTTGGGATTTTATGGTGTATGTGACAAAATAAACATATTTATTGTAGGAATTCCCCATTTGTATGGTTATATGCTTAGGCAAAGGAAGAAAACTCTATCCATATAAAAAGGGCATGAGAAGTTAGGGGAGGCTCTATTTTTCTTTTCATAAATGTCTATTAGAACTAACTGTATCCTTGGTTTTTTTTTTTTCTAATTCTTATTGAATGAATTTCTTCGTAACCCTTGAGAAGACTTTAGTTCTTGATTATGTATGTTCCTACTTAGTGATCACAAACCGAGGGAGACATAATTTGAGGAGTAAATATCATGTTTTATAAGATATGAAATTTCACGTGTTTAAAAAAAATTGTAGATCCATTGTTTGGAGGTGTGTACATGGTACGATATTGATTTGTTTTTCCTCAAACCACATACCGTGCCAACTATAGTTGTAAAAAAAAACTTGTTACCAATACCATACAAAGTATACATAGTACCAACTTATTTAACTACTTACAACCTTAGCCGGTACAAATTGATAATTATATATACAAACTTCATTCAAATTTTATGTTGTAATATTCAAAAACTAGTAAGAACGTCCGATAATTTTGATGTTTAATTAAAAATTAGTTAAGTAATTATTTTAATTTACTAAAGAACTATATTCACGTAACATTTAATTTTTTTTTTTAATTTAACGTTGTAATTACTATTTAGTATTGCGGTCAAATGACATATACCCATGCTCTTAATTTACATATCATTTGATATGGAATATATTATAAGGAAATTGAGAAATCTAACCATATTTTAATTTATAGTTAACAAAAATAACCATTTAAAAAAAATTAACCACTATGTACGGAATGGCCATTTGGAACCATATCAAAACGGGTCAATCCCACTACTATAACTCAATGCTATATATATGGACTCCACACACAAATCTGAAATAATCATTCTAGATTTTGAAATTTCGAAGGTCGTTCTACCCACATTTCGGACAGAGTTTTGATCATAGATTCATCAATACTCTTTAAGGTGCTGTTTGTTTTTTTGAAGCCAAAATGTCTGCAGTCTGCGGACCACATCTGCAAGCCTCTGTGGCAGAAGAGGTGGACCAAATGTCTGCAGTCTGCAATATAAAGACTGTTTGTTTTTAACGTCTGCGGCTGTTGAAATAAATTGATTTTTCAAACTTAATTTTATGTCATAAACATTAAAAATGCATTTTCAGCTAAAAAGGAAAGAAAAAAAACTGCACAGTGGCCAATGTTTTTTTTATTTATTTATTTATGTTAAAATGGGGTCTGAAGACCTTTGAAGACACTGACCCATGTCTACGCCAGGAAGACCTCACGCAGACGTTTTTTGATCTGTGCACTTCCAAAAAACAAACAGTCTGCGAGGGCATATGTCTGCGCGTTGTCTGCACGGCGCAGACAAAATTGGTTGCGCGGATCTTCATAAAAAAACAAACAACCCCTAAGTTTACTTGCATTTGACTTTACAAACAATTAAATATATTCCAAAATCCATAGATCATGTCCGGAATACGAAAAACAAGTTCGTAATATATATTTTTTGTATTTTTTTTTCGTTTTACACATACATAGACCCATATAAGTATCTTAAAGTGTGTTCATGACCATTTGTTTAATAAGGAAATAAGTTTACTAGAGAATCTGAAATGGTAGTGTACCGCCGTAATACAAAGAACATAGTCCGAAATATGAAGAACATAATTCGAAATACGAAGATCAATTCCGGAATGATACTCCAAAATAAAAATCCATTATTTTTTTTTGTTTGATATTGTTTAATAACCCATGTTAATCGGAATACCAATTTGTGTGGATGTTAAAAAAGTGGGTTTTACGGAGGAAGAAATTGTATTCCATTAACAGGAGTTTTCATAATTGCGCTCGATAAAGGTAAAATCGAACTACAAAAATTTCTAATAAATATTTTATTTTATTTTATAGTAATGTATTAAAATGTTGTTGGAATTTTGTTTTGAAGATAAAAAAAATGAAGATGTTGAGTTAGAAACAAAATAATAAAAAATAAACCACCAAAGACACCTAGAAAATTAATAAAGAAACTGGAAAGAGTGTTAAAGCTATATTTGAAAGCAGATAGGACTCCAAAAGATGAGACCAAATTAATTTGAGTCAAATCTGTTATTATAGACTAACTACAAATAATAATTTTTTTATGGATAGGTTTTAGCAATTTGGTTTTAATTTTGGATATGTTTTGCAAGTTGGTTTTTAATGGTTATTTTATTATATTTTAGTTTTAGTCTCCACCATCGAATGACTCGATCGACGGGGATGTGTTGCAAATAGAACATGAAATAGTACGTCTTGAAGACGAGCAATGATGTCTTGTTGATAAGACAACGTTAGAAATGATTTGTGATTATCAACATGCGAACCAACGTATGGTAATATTGGAATCCCATTACTGCCTTTTGCGGCCGAGGAGCAGAGAAAACTGGCATTGTATAATATGCAAATGCTTCTCATTACGATGTCTGAAGATATACAACATTTTTTTAACATAATGGACATCATCGAAGAAGCACGTAGGACAACTGCAACAATATAAGATCAACTTAATTATGTAGGCACGGCTAGTTTGCACCGGATGCAAGTTCCCAGTTATCGTGGAAATGTACTTTAATTTTAAATATTGTAATGTCTTTTGAAACTTAATTATGGTTGGGTTATAGAAATGCCAATGTTTTTCATTATCATTAGTACAACGATCGTTACAAATCCTAACACATACTTATATTGGTTTCCATAAATTAGGAAATTATAAGGATACATATTTTATTCGCGATCAATAATACTCCGCTAATTGTAACAACATATGTTAGGCATTCCCGTTCTACACGAAGCTTACCAATTTTTGCATTTGCATCTTAAATCAACTTCTCAGCTTCTTTGACTTTTTTCATAACTTCACCAACCCATTTTTCTTTTTCATTTACTTGTTCCGCTAGATCGTTTGCACGCTGATTGAGTGACTAAATTATTTTCATATTCTCTTTCGTTTGCTTCTTCAGCGACCTTCATAATTTGGAAAATGTCATCAGACATTTTATCCGGGAGTGGTAAATCTGGGCCTTCTGGAAACGAGTTAATATCTGAACAAACATAACAATATTCTTCTTCATATTGCCAAACACCAAACCCTGATGAAATTATTCTCAACTTTTTTCTACGTTTACGATGTATGACAGTTGCATATTAATAGAGTGTATTTGTAACATATTTTATTATATCCGAAATGGTGTGTATGAAATTTGTGTCTGGAATATGTGTCTATAAGTCTATGCCTGAGGAATATATGACATGTATGATTAATTTGACATGACATAAATGATTGATGTGATGTCTGAAATGTCAGTCCGAAATGGAATTTTGGAATAACATGTAATCAGGAATAAAGCACTATAAATACAAAAAATGGAATTGAAGAAGCCTTAGATTTCCAGAATGGTAGTAAATCAACCCCAGTCGTAGACTACACGAGAAGTGATCGCGATCGTTGAGGATTGGATAACCATTGAGGATGATATGGTTGTCATCGATCTGTCACATATCATGTATGAAGCGTGTTGGGTCTGATTGAAAAATATGTTTCATTATGAGTTATATGTTGTAGAGTATCGAACTGAAGAAGAAGTGAATATTAAGTTTCTAGGAAGAGGGTGCACATTTTATGTCTATTAATTAGTTCGAAACACATCAGTATGGTAATATATCTGAACCATATCGGCTAATTTTGTAAGGTTTGAATGATGTGATATCGTCATAGCATGACTGTATGCTATACCCAGACTATGACATTTCCCACATGAGCATGTATGGCGGTTCAGATCTACAACACAAGTTATTTTAAAATCAAAAACTCGATAAATGTTTGACGGTAATGGAGACATGATCTTTGTTGTTTGCCTCCGAACATACTTTTTCATTCTCCTCTGAAGCACCATCTTTTTATACGGGGTGAGTATGCTAGTCAACCTTCCTGAAAAGTAAATATTATCATTTGGGGTTATTGTACAAGTAAAAAAAATAATTCAATAGTTTATGCAATTTTACCTCCCATGAAACTTCGTTTAACAAAAGTCACTTGAATGTAGTCACAAATTTCCTCAGTAAGCGTTATTACTAGTACATTGCGTTGATTAACCGATAACACCAACATAAATTTTGGAACACCAATGTTGGTTACATTCTAACGAATGTTAGGGAAATAGGGTCTTGTCCATTTCTCATGACCGATGTTGGCAAGCACCTTATATTCATCATGGGTTAGTCGACGAAATTTTGTTGAAAATCAAACATAGTATATGATTTGCATGCAAGGAAGAATAAATTTTCTAATTGTCTGTTTCCATAATTTCTTGTTTGCAAATACATGAACACACTCTTACAACAATACTCATGATAAGCATTAGGGAATATCTGACCTATGCAAGAACTAATGACATCGTCCATATTCGTTATGAATGATACTACCCTACTTTCTCCGAGAGCTTCCTTTATCCTCATCAGGAACCATGTACAAGAGTCGACATTATTCTCCATGCCCAGACCTAATGCTATAGGGATGGTATGGTTGTTCCCGTCCATTTCAACCGCTACAAACATTGTATTTAGGTAGTCCCCTCTTAGATGGACACTACCAATAAAGATGAAAGACAGTAAGCAACTTATGAACGCATGGAGTAGAAACAATAAAAATTATTTTTAGGTGTAGAAATGTTATCAATTTTAAAGAAACAATAAAAATAGGGAACAAAATGTTTTTCAACATATCCAATAGCCACAAAACATAGTTGGAAACGATCCATCACATCAGTTTTGATGTTTGTATAAGTATGATGGTTGGTCTGCCTAAGGTTGTGTAGGTAAATATGCAGGTTGGTAAAGATTTCGCCATGCTCACTCTCTAAGAAACTCATATTGAAGCAGTTATAAGAGAGAATTACGGATGATATGAAGTAAGCATCTAACTACATGGGTTATCATTTATATATAAGGGACAAAAAATGATTTTTTATAGTCCGGAATGTCGGTCCGAAATGTGTGTCTGGGATGA